TGTGGCCTGAGTCCATTTGCAAATGGTTTTGTGCTTGATGTAAAACGAATGCTATTCCAGAATTCTTTTTGCAATCAATTATTTAGGGCTTATGAATATTAATGCAAAACAAGGGAGGAGGGTGAGAAACAGAGAGACATCATGGCCAAACACTTCAGCAGGATCCAGTCAAAAAGTCAAGATGGCAGTTGCAATGGTTTAATCAAAGCTCTGCCTGTTTTTTTTTTGTGCATTGCATAAAAATGCACCATCTTCACTTTTTTTTAACCACCCTCTGCACACATTCCTGATCGTAGTATATGAATCACTAGAATCAAATATTAAGTTTCTACTTTAAAAAGTTCTGTATAAATTGCAGCCAAGAAAACTACAAGGATGTTTCCAGGTGTCAACCATCCCTCTATGGATAATCCTCGACTTATGACAACAATTGGGACCACAATTTCCATTACTAAACAAGTTGTTAAGTTGTGCCCAATTTTATGATTTTTTTAAACCATGGTTAGCAAATCACTGCAGTTCATTGAGTCATGCAGTCGTTAAGTGAATATGGGTTCCTCCATTGACTTTGCTTGTTGGAAGCCAGCTGGGAAGGTCACAAATGGTAATTATATGACCTCAGGACAGGGCAACCGTCATAAATCCAAGTGGGTTGGGAAGCTTTCGAATCCTGATCATGCGGCATGGGATGCTGTAACAGATGCAAGTGCGAGTACCAGGTGTAAGTCACCTTTTCAATACCATTGTAACCAGGGGTAGGATTCAAATTTCTTAACAACTGGTTCTGTGGGTGTGGCCTAATTTGTGGGCTTGGCTTGATGGTCATGTGACTGGGTGGGCATGGCTTGGTGGTCATGTGACTGGGTGGGTGTGGCTTCTATGTAAATATTATAAATATTTATGTAAATATTGATTTTTTAAATAAAAATAGAGCAACTTTTACCCAAAAGGCGGCAAAGGAGGCAGGCAGATTGAGTTGCTCACAGAATTACAGATTCACTTAGAGATCTATCTATCTGCAATCTGTTACCTGAGTCTGTCACATAAAATTTGCTAGCAAGCAAACTCACAAAATTAATTCACAACACACCATGTATGTAAATATTGATTTTTTTTATATAAAAAAGAGCAACTTTTACCCAAAAGCAGACAAAGCAGGTAGGCAAATTGAGTTGCTCACAGAATCAGAGATTCACTTAGAGATCTATCTATCTGCAATCGGCTACCTGAGTCTGCATTGAAAAGTAGAAACTTCAATCCTAAGGAAGGTTTGGCTCTGCTTTAGGGTTAGCTAGAAAGCAAGAAATCCAAGGATTTCCTGCTTTCTAGCTAATCTAAATCTCCTGGCAGAGCAGAACAGCTGATGGTCAGGGGTGGGGGGAGGAAAAATATCAACTTACCAAACCAGGCAAGTTGGATGGCTCACATGCCAGGTAAGGAGTGAGTGGGTGGGGAAGGGCGGGGCCAGACAGTAGAGCGATTTGCTCGTTCTCCGAACTGCGGACAGTCATAACATGCATGTGTGCAGCATTTGCTAGAAATCATCAGCTGTGCCGCCTGGACAAGCGCAGCGTTTGAAAATCCTCGTTTCTTGCTTTTTCAACCTCAGCTGTGCTGCGCAAAGCAGGTGAAGAGGGAAAAGCAGGGAATAAAGGACAGCCTAGACCCCGGGCAGGTGGGTGGGCCAAACACCAAACTGGTTCAGTGTCAGCTGCTCTTCACAGCTTCTGGTTCTATAGAACCGGGCCGAACTGGTAGCATCCCACCCCTGGTTCTAACAGGAGAGCCCCTAGCTAAGATTCTGTGCAGTTTGGAGAATCCCCAAATCCCACTCCTGGCTGGCCCTGCCCAGCACACCCCTCCCTTCCCAGGAGTCCCCACAAGGCCCATTTTGGATGCAGGTAAGTGCAGGGTGCATGTGGAGGCTCAGGAGAGTGAAAAATGGGCCTCTCAGAAGTTCAGGAAGGCTGGAAATGGGACTGTTTCTGGCTTCCGGAGAGCCTCCGGAGTCCGGGGAGGCTGTTTTCACCCTCCCAGAGGCTCAAGGAAAGTCTCCGGAGCCCGGGGAGGGCAAAAACGCCCCCCCTCGTGGTGCAGGAGGCTGACTAGGCCACGCCCACCATGGCCACACCCACCCAGCAACCAGGCAGAGAACCCATTGCTAAAATTTTTGAAGCCCACCTCTGGTTGTAACTGATTGGTCACTAAATGAAAATTTGTAAGTCAAGGACTACCTGTACCTAGCTTCCTTTAAAGGATAGGTCTGAAAAGATAAATTGACTGTGTAATCAGTTACTCTAGTTCCGCTTGCCTTCTTACAGCAAGTCATATTTAGCTGCTATATTAATTATGGCAAATGCTATTTTTAAAGATCATCTATGTTTATTCAATTTGTGGCCGTTTGGCCATTAGGCAGATTTCTCAGTAATTAGCATGACAGTGAAGAAGTAGGTACACAGGTAGTCCCTGACTTACAACCACAATTGATACCAGAATTTCCATTGTAAATTGTTGCAGTTAGAAATTGCATTCAGACCTTTTTATGAGTGTTATTGCAATGGCTGCTAAGAGAGTGATCACTATCATTAAGCAGATGACCGCAGGACACTGCGACCAGTTGTAAATGCAAGCCTGTTGGCAATTGACCACTGGCTTACATTTACAACTAGTTGCAGTGTCCTGAGGTCATTCGCTTAATGAATGTGATAATTGTCTTAACAGCCATTGCAATAAAAGTCAAATTGCAATTACATAATCCTATAGGGGGTGGTGGCAATAGTCTTAAGTGCAAGCACCAGTCGTAAGTGTGAGGACTGGACTTTTTTCAGCCCTATTGTAACCTCAAATGATCATAAAACAAATGGTCGTAAACCAAGGGCTATCAATTTTTAACCTGGGCTTATAGAAAAATATGACTGCGGCTTTCTATCTGTTCAATGAAGGAGAAATCGGCTTCAGCAGAATTTCAAGAAAAGTTCAATATTCTGGAAATGGTGGAGCAGAGCTAAGTAAAATCTTTCAGCTGTTAGTGACTTTATGGGTGTGTCCGTGCAGTTTTCTCAGAGGCAACAGGGAAATACGCAATTTCCCATTTCCTTTTTTTGAGCTGTCTTTTCAATTTTACTGTCTATTCCAGAACTATAGAATTTACAGATGCTGCCTGCTTACTGTAATTTTTGTGTGTGTAAACTTCCCTCAGTGGCCCACACATTCCTTTGTCATCCTCTCTCCGTTTAACATTTATCAAATGGAGACATAAACCGAGATATTATTCTTTACTTAACCATTTTCAGATGGATCGGTTGCGAAGTTTTGACATATAGACACAAAGATCTATCACACATACGGCTCTTCTCAAATTCAGATCTTAGCCCCAATATTATGAAAATAAGAATTTGGTGGATCCAAAATGACCACAAATGATCGCATGATTGAAGTCATGAAGCGTGTGATGGGATCTTGACTTTATTCATCCCTCGGAAGAGGTCACTGCCTCCTCCACAATAATCTGGCCATTTGTCATCTCCAAGCTGTAATTTCAATATGTACATCCAGCTGTTTTCCAATTTCAATATGTACAGCCCCATCCAGCTGTTTTCCGTATCTTAAAAAACTCAGCCTTCAAAGTATGAAGCAGATCAAAGCAAGGTTGGGGTAGTGCATTAGCTGGTCTTTGTTTTACCAGTAAGGGCTGTTTCAAAAGAAAAACTGGGTTTCGTTTCAGTATTTCATCATATTTCTTCATCTATATTGTATTTTCTCCACAAATGTTCTTATATAACCACTCCTTGGGATTCCCCGTCTTTTGCAATATGGGAACACTAGATCCCATGAAATTCCATTTCTATTACATATTCATCTCCTCTGTGTGGGAAACTCCCACCTCTCAGCAAAGTAATTCATTTCCAACTTAAGAGGCCTCCAGATTTCTATGCTGATTTTCTACTCCCAAAGAGAACACCTGTGACAGTAAATTCCTGATGTGGTTGTGAAAGTATTTTGGAATCTGGAGATCAACTACAATATAGGTAGTCCTCAACTTACAACAGTTCATTTAATGATCATTCAAAGTTGCAACGGCACTGAAAAATGTGACTTACGACTATTTTTCAGTTATGACCTTTGCAATTTGAATCCCTGATCGTGTGATCAAAATTGAGTTGCTTGACAAAACTGGTTCATATTTATGACCATTGCTGTGTCCCAATGTCATGTGATCACCTTTTGCAACCTTCTGACAAGCGGTCAATGGGAAAACCAGATTCACTTAACAACTGTTACTAACTTACCAACTGCAGTGGTTCACTTAACAACTGTGGGAAGGTCATAAAATGGGGCAAAACTCATTTAACAGATGTCTCACTTAAGAACAGAAATTTTGGGCTCAATTGCGGTTGTAAGTCGAGGTCTATCTGTACTTAGCAGCTTGCATTGGGATTCCATTTTATTAAGTTTATATATTGTTTAGCAATGCTAAGCAATATATAAAAGCAATGCAACAATCATAAGCAATTAAAAGCTTCAAGTTAGTCGTATCTTTTGGTAACTTCAGAAATAAGACCCTGCTGTTTCCTTGGCCACAGTTTTTGGGGATGGTTTTCGCTTCCCAGGACTGAGAGAAAGTTACTCGCGTGCACACGGTGAATTCAGAGCCTCCTGGTTTCTGTCTGATGCCTTTCATTGCCCCCCTCTTCCAATAAAATAAAATGCACTAAGGATACACAATACATCCGCTAAGGTTAGGGCGTTGTAATAAACACAACAATCTTGAAATCAGCGTGAGTTGCGCTTTTTTGGCAAGCCGCAAGGACTTTGAGCAGACCATTTCCTGCTTTTCGAGGCGCCCGGGTGCTTTTTTATCCCCCCACACTCCGGTCTGTCACCCTGGGAAACGGGGTGGGTAGCTCTGCCCGCGGTGCCCACTCTCTCAAGATGGCCGCCAGGGCAGCCTTGGCACGCCGCGCACGTGGGCACCGGGGTTGGGCGCAAGCGCGCGGCGCTGCCCGGCCGCTCGTAGCTGCGGCGGCGGCGGCGGGGGGGATCCCCGGGAATCGGACTCGGGACGGCCTTTCCGTCCTTGCCAGATTCCCCAGCGACGAGCATGGCGAGCCGCTTGCCGCCCTGCGTCGTAGACACCGGCACCGGGTGAGTGAGCCCTGCGGAATCCGAGGGCAAAGCCGCCTAAGGTCTCCTTCGCGGGGTCGCCTCCTTCTCCTCCTCACGCAGCGCTAGCGGCTTGGCTGGGCTGGGCAAGGCAGCGGTAGGGTCGGGCGAGTCCCTGCTGTCTGCTCGTATCTCCTCCCATCTCAGCGCCGGGGCAGGCGGCGGGTTCGGCCCTTTCCTTACACCACCTCCGCCCCCTTTTCCTCCGCCGGCACTAGCGCCTTGGCTCTGTTCTCCTGGTAGATGGAAAGTCTCTCTCCACCTGCGCCGGGCTTTCTCCTTGATCTCAAGGCAGGGACGTCCTTCTTGCCTTCCTCCAGCCCTTCTCTGCACCAAAACTCTGCCCCTCCTCGTCGCATCCTATGGCTGTGCTAAGAGGGGCGGAGGCGGGTGTGGGCGTTGTGCCAAATGGACCCCCGCAATCCTGAACTAGTTGGGCTCCGTCCTTCTTCTCTGCCCTCGCGTTCCTGTCTTTTCCTGCCTCCCCGAAGGACAACTTTTTTACCCCCCTCCCTAATGCCAGATCCACACCCTCTCCCTCCCCAGCAGTCTCATTCGCGCGCGCGCGTGTGTGTGTGTTTACTTTAGGAATAATTAGCTGGAGACCCCCAGAGATTAGGATTGCACCCCTCTGGAGTCACTTCTCCCTGCCTTCCAGCCTGAGACCCAATAATTGCCTCTTCTTTACCTCTTCGCAAGGACCCCAAGAGGGGTCCTTCTTCTTCTAAAAAAAAGCAAACACATTTCAAACTATCAGGAGTCAGCCCACCGATCCTGGATTATAGAAATTATAGGGGGGAAAAACAACAGCCATGCGCCTTAACTTCTTGCTCTGTTTCTCTCAACCTTTTGCCTGTTTTGTTATTGTCTCTAAAAATACACGGAGTTTTCTCTCTCGTTTCTCAGCTTTCTGCCACACTTTCTTGCAAGCCCTCACAAAAAGAAAAACATGTCACCTTTCGTTTTATAGGTCCATTTTCCAGGGCCGTCTTAACAGCATTATGGGCCTTGGGCAAAGCAGTGTTCTGTGGCCCCTATGACAACCACTCACAGGAATAAAAATGTAAATGGTCAATAAAATTAAACATATATTTGTATGTCAGTATTAATACAAAAAATGCAGCAAAATGTCATAAATATGTTGCTGTATTTGATGCAAGGTGCACTGAAGGGTTAATATACACAGATTGGTATGGGGCTTCTATGCTCTTAAGGGGCAAGTACACATCAGGTCCCTGCGTTAAGACAGCCCTGCCATTTTTCACTCAGTGTAGATTACTCAGTTAACCTAAGGATTTCATTCATTCTCTGGCCCATTCGTTTGGCTTTCTACTTTCCTTAGTTGCAGATCTTCCAGTGGGGTCCTTTTCCTTCTCTTGGCTTGGTGGGACCTCCAACAGAAGCTCCTGAGTGGTTTTTGTCTGGATATCTTTTTACCAATCTTCTACCTTTTAGCTTTCTCCCCTCAAGCAGCCATTCAGAGAACAAAACTTGAGAGCTAGGCTTGTTTGCTAAATATTTTACTTGTCCTGGCAACTGGCTCAGTTTACCATTCCATTTGGTAGTCCTTGATTTAGAACCATTATTGGGCCCAGCATTTCTATTGCTGAGTAAAAAGGTTTTTAAGTGAGTTTTGCCCCATTTTACGACCTTTCTTCTTAAGTTGTTAAGTAAATCACTACACTTATTTAGTAATACGGTTCTTAAGTGAATCTGGCTTCCCCACTGACTTTGCTTATCAGAACATCGTAAATGGTGACCTGGGACACTGCAACCGTCATAAATACATGCCAGTTTCCAAGCATGCAAATTTTGATCAGGTGACCATGGAAATGCTGCAGTAAGTGTGCAAAAAGGTCATAAATCGCTTTTCTCGATGTCATTGTAACTTCAAATGGTCAGTAAATGAATGGTTTTAAGTTGAGGATTACCTGCGTGTATGTTTGTATGTATGTATTTATACACTGCCTTTATTATTTTTACACATAATTCAAGGTTGCGAATATATCCAACACATTTTCCTCCTCCTGTTTTCCTCACAACAACAACCCTGTGAGGTGGGCTGGACTGGGAGAGAGCGTGACTGCCCAAAGTCACCCAATTGGTTTTCATGCCTAAGGCAGGACTTGAACTCAGAGTCTCATGGTTTCTAGTCTGGGTGCTTTAATCTCTAGACCAAAGTGGCTGTGGTAGTTAAGGGAGTCGCGTCTGAGTTTAGGACCTTTTTGTCATGATTGTTAAGCAAATCATAATTGTGAGCGCAAGGGTGTCAAACTCCCATTTCATTGGGGGCCGCATCAGGGTTGTGTTTGACCTTGTGGGGCTGGGATGGCCATGGACAGCTTGACATCACTTGTGTCAGTGGGGTATGTGTGCCTGTGGTGGCCTGAGTACTTTGCCAGCAAAAACGGGCTCCCGAGTTCCGTTTTTGGCATGATGGCCTGCAGCAGCCCCCCTGAGCTCCGTTTTCACTGGCAGAGGGCTGCAGGGGATGGTCACGGCTGAAAACGGAGCCTGGGAGGGCCGTGTGCGGCTGTCCTAAGCTTTGTTTTCATTGGCAGAGGCATCGTGGGTTGGTCCTTTGCTGTTTCCAAGATCCTGGCCTTGAATTTGACACCCCTGGTGTAGCGAATCTGGCTTCCCCTATTGACTTTCTAGTTAGAAGCTGGCTGGGAAGGTTGCAAATGGCCAATCACTTGTGATCTGGGTTCTGCACATAGGCCGGTTGCCAAACTCCCAAATTTTGATCACATAACCCATAGGAATATTTCTATGGTCATTAGTGTGGGGACTAGTGGTACATCACTTTACTTGACTTCAAACAGCACTCCTTACTAGCACTGATGATGTTACCTAGTTAGGGTCTGTAAGGAAACAAGCCAGCTCACAGAGCACCAATAATAGCAATAACAGTGAAGCCATAAAAACCAAATCAAAATTCATAAACATAAGGATGGCTGCGCATCTTGGTTTTAGAAGTGCAAATAGTCCTTGACTTACAACCGTTCCTTTAGTGACCATTCAGAGTCACTGTGCTGAAACAAATTTCTTATGACCAATTCTCACACTTATGACCGTTGCAGCAGTCCCACAGTCACGTGATCAAAATTTGTGCGCTTCACAACGTGCATGAAGTTATAATGGTTGCAGAATCCCAGGATCCTGGGATGGTCCCTTGCAACCCTCCTCCGGAACTTCTGAAAAGCAATGTCAATGGAAGAAGACATGTTCGCTTAATGACTGCATGATTCACTTAACAACTGCAGTGATTTGCTCAAAATTGTGGCAAAACTTCATAAAATGGGCCACAACTCATTTAACAACTGCTTTGCTTAGTAATGGAAATTTTCGGCTCACATGTGGTTGAAAATGGAGGACTATCTACAAGTCTGTCAGATGTATAACCTTGTGTATGAACAATCTTTTCTTTGTTAATATGGAAGTGAAATAGAAAATATTTGTTTCCCACTCTAATAATCAGTTATCCAAATTACAGTGGTTGCATCACTCTGTGTCCCCGATGTGTTATAGGGATGTTAGATGCTAATAAATCTGAGTCTTTGTGTTATGCAGTCAAAGATTGTTTGGGTAACTGGTAGCTCCTTTGTTCATTAAGTGCTTGTTCTCCTTCTAAACTCCATAGCATGATTGGGATAATTTTATTTTGGATTTTTGTCATTTCAGATTTATGTATTTTTATAAATAACTCAAGGCATTGACCTACTTAATATTCCTTCTATTTTTCACCCCCACAACAGCAACTCTGTAAGGTGGGCTGGCTGAAAGTCATCCAGTTTTCATGCCTAAAGTGGGAACTAGAACTCACAGTCCCCTGGAGCTCAGAGTCACCCAGCCAGCTTTCATGCCTACGGTAGTACTAGAACGTGCAGTTTCCTGATGATTGGCTCTAAGTCATGCAGCTGGCTTTCATATCTAAGGTGGGAGTAAAACTCACAGCCACCTGGTGATTGGCCCAAAGTCACCCAGGAGAACTAGAATTCTTAGTCTCCTGGTTTTGATGGTTTAACCCCTAGACCAAACTGTCTCTCTTCTTATTGCATTTTAGGTAAATCCATTACTAGCTAAATAACACGACACAATCGGCCTCTTTCAATTCTCCTGTTAGTTTCTATCAATCCTCTCTCTCCTGCAATTCTAGAGATCAGCTTACACATTGACCCTAAAGTCAGGAGGCACACTGATCTATTTAAAACTTCCTAGATGGCATGCCTCTGATGTTATTCTGTCTGACTGAGGTGGCCTTGCATATATTAATTAAGGACTAATCTAGTAATCCCATATTTAATTACAGTTAGATGAGCAATCTGATCAGCTTCCAAACTTTTTCATTTTCGGTGTAGAATTTGCAATTGAATCAATACTGCTAAATATACATCTGTATTTCAGAAGAAGGACTCTGTGAACTTGGTAGGACTTCTGAGAAACTGCTGAGGATTGTCCTGTAAATCGATACAACCTCTCAGAATACATTTGGAGTCCAAGATCAAAGCCCTGTATACCATATCAGATAATGACATTAATTCTAGAGAGGTAGTGACACATTAGATTGATTTCATTTCACCTGCCAAAACACTCTGAAAATTGCATGCAAAGCAGGCATAACCCAAATGTGTAGAGTAGAACCTGAGGATGGAAATGTAAAGATTTGCAGCAGACTTGAAAATTCCATTTTTAGGCATTCTCTTCTATTTTTGGGTTGCTTCCATTGGTTAAGATTAATGATGCGGCTGTGAATCTGCATTTGTAAACTGTAAATGTTTGGATGATAACAGGTTGGTGGGGGGTTGAATAATAGAATGATTTAAGACCTACCGTTTTGATGGGGAGATATTGAGGTAATATTTTTACTTATTTTATTTCTTAATTCAATTTTAATCTCATCTTTATTAGTTCATAAATAATTCTAGGCCAGAGGTCTCCAACTTGGCAACTTTAAGACTTGTGGACTTCAACTCCCAGAATTCTCCAGTCAGCTGGCTGGAGAATTCTGGGAGTTGAAGTCCACAAGTCTTAAAGTTGCCAAATTTGGGGATCCCTGCTGTAGGCAGTGAATTTACTTAATACTCTTTCCTCTTTCCATTTTCCCCACAACAACAACCCTGTGAAGTGGTTTGGGCTCAGGGAGAGGGACTAACGCAAAGTTACCCAGTTGGTTTTCATATCCAAGGTGGGACTTGAACTCAGAGTCTCCTAGTAATTGGCTCAAAGTCACCCAATTGGCTTTCATGCCTAAGGTAGGACTAGAACTCACAGTCTTCTGGTGATTGGCCCAAAGTCACCCAGTCAGCTCTCATTCCTAAAGAGGGACCAGAACTCACAGTGTCTTGATTTCTAGGCTAGGATTTTCACACTAATAAAACTGGCAATTTTCTTAAAAGTAAAGTCTCCTCTTTCAGTTAAGTTTTAACATTGATCACCTTATGGTTGCAACCATTCATGCAGATTTCTTAACAAAAATATGAAAATATTTTTGCTGTTGCTTGTTTTTTTAATTCACAGTCTAGTCAACAGAAGAGATACCCTAGAGATTTCTAATTCTGTTTGCTTTCCTCACCCAGACACCTGCTATCTCTTATGATGCCTATTGAAGAAGAAGTATTTGCATGAAAGCTTAGGAATTGATGGCTGGCTTTTGCCAGCCTGAATTAATAATACCTCCTGGGGAAGACTGAATCCTATACAGTATACACTGTTCAGTTGCAAGGGAAAATTCTCTGTTAGGACTCGGACTGAAAAAGCAGAGTATTAATAAATTGAAGCATAAATAAATAGTGTTGATTATTTTTGAGAAAAGAACTACAGTTCAGCGATTGAGAACATGGTTTGCATAGAAAGTTATAAGATAATTCTTGATCATGTGCATAGTCAGAAAGGCCTCTCTGTAGATTGAAAACAATATCCACGGTTGGGTTTTTTTTAGTCTGCTAAAGTATGCTTATTTACATAGAAAAAATAATTGTTATAAAGGAAATTTTAAGGGTTGCAAAAATTCTAGTAAATGCCTTTTAAGTATCCTTTCCCACCTGATCTATTTACTACATGAAGAACAAGCAAAAGGAATGATCCTTAAAATTGTGCTTTGCCCTTTCTAGGACTAAAAATTATAAGGAAAGACAGAATTGCAGAATAAGAAGAGTTGGAGAAGACCATTGAGGTCTTCTGGTCCAATCCCCTGCTAAAGCAGGAAATCTTTTATCATTTTGGGCAAATGGCTGTACCCTCTCTGTTTTAAAACCTCCAGTGATGGAGCACCCACAAACTTCTGGAGGCAAGCTATTCCACTAATTAAATCTTGCCAGTCAATATAAATAGATGTCATAGAACTATGTGGATAGTATGAAATTGTCAAACTGAGGCTTGGAAAATTTTATTTTGAATTATTTTTCCATTTAAAACTTTGCATGTAATTCCTATGTACTTATTCAGGATATACACTTAGTCTAAAAAAAAATGCTAAGCTACACATGCATTGTTTTAGGTTGGTTGTTGGGAATTGGAGTATGTGAGGCAAAAGACGTCTAACAGATCTAGACATAATGATCTTCCCACATCTCTTCTCCTGAACTTGCTTTGCATTCTAGGCTTATAGAATGATAATCAAGATAGGTAGATTAGTCCAGTCAAATACCATAAATGGTACAGTCATACAATTATGTGAGCTCAAAATTTGCTGGTTCAATCTTGGTGAAATTATGGAATCAGCTCTATGTCAGCGTTCCAACCAACCATCTCCAACCCAATAAACTCCGAGACAAGCATTTCCTCAAAGTTCCATTTTATTAGAGTTGTCATATTGGCCCATCTGGGAAAACCCGAATCTGAGAGTTCTGGGTTTTCCCCTCCCAAAACAAATTCAAAGTTCCATCCCCTGCACCCACCAGCCCATCACATGGCCCAATCAAAATGTCGTCCCAACTGGAGACATTCCTCCAGACACTCCTCTCCAAGTGCAGGGTAACATGTCCTTGGACTTTGTGAGAAAGGAAGGTTGTTGAGTCTAATCTTCCACCTCTCTATGAAATCCCCCCCATCCAAATTCCCAGGCACTAAATGTGGCAGCCTGGTTGAACTTAAACCCTAAACTGGGCATGGATGGAAATATGGAGGGCTGTTCCATATGATCTTCCCAAGGACGATCATATAAGAATAATATATAAGAATAATAAATTCAGTCCAATAAGAAGAGTGAAATAATCAAAGACTAAGCAGAATTGGGGAATAAAAGCAAACCAGGCGCCCCAAGAACACGATGGCTGGAGCCCATCAAAGCTGGCACCAGCCAGAGCATAGAACAACTCAAAGAAGCAGTGCAAGATTGAAAGATGTGGAGAGACCTGGCCCATAGAATCCCCAAGAGTCAGACCCGACGGAGTGGATAACATCATCACCATCATCAAGCAGAATTAAGTATCACCTTAATCTAATAATTACTCTTTTTGGGTTTTCTTGAAGGCCTGTCATTTTGGGGCTCACTGACCCATGAGAAAGCTCTGCAAACATAAGCAATGGAAAAAACTGGACATGCAATTGCAGTCTTTAGCGCTGGGCTTAGAGGACAGTGTGATCAATAAATGTGTTGAAAGCTGAATGCTCAGCATTAAAGCAAGGCCTAGAAACGTTGATAATCAGTAAAACACACAGAATGCAGCATATGTGTTTCCTTTTTTGAACTCATGCTTGCCTTCAAGCAGTAGTTGAAGTAGTTTAGTTTCCTGGTTATTCTTAGGTTCCATTGCAATATTCTAGCATGTTTTGAGGTACCATCTTATTATTAAATTTTTATCTGATCTTTATTACATTATCAATAACTTAAGGTGGCAAACATATCCACCACACCTTCTCCTATGTTCTCCGCAATGATCAGCCTGTGAGGTGAGGTGGGCTGGGCACGGAGAGAGGGACTGTGCAAATTCACCCAATTGGCATTAATGCTTAAGGCAGAGGACTAGAATTCACAAACCCCTGGTGATTGGCCCAAAGTCTCCCAGTCGGCTTTCATGTCCAAGATAGGACTAGAACTTAAATCCCCTGATTTCTAGGCCAGCACCTTAACCACCACATCAATAATCATTCTCTCGTAGAACTACTGATGATGGTCAGGAGACTTCAATAATTTCTATGGAAGGAGTCTTAGAATAAAGGAGTCTTCAAATTTCTATGGGGTGCAAGGCAAGAGGTTGGAGACCTGTGAACTGAACTGAAATCCATCCTTCTCAGAAGATGTTGATCAATATTCTGGTGCCATCCTTCCAGACACTTTGGAATGATAACTTTCAATATATCATGACCAAAATACCTTACAAATACACTTCAAAGCAGGCTTGGCAGACTTTAAGACTTGTGGACTTCAACTTCCATGCGGGCTGGGGAATTATGGGAGTTGAAATCCACAAGTCTTAAAAGTTGCCCAGCTTGGACACCCCTGCTTTCAAGGGTTCAGCAGTGGTGATGGTGAAATAATACAGTATTTCTTTATGGCCATCCTTGTTGCAGACCAATTTTGAAAATGGATTCTTGTATACATTTGCATTTGTTTTAAGTCTTCTACTGTTTATGTTGCCTTTCTCCAGGGCAGGTGTAGAAACCCAGCAATTTGGATGAAGAGGAATATTTGTGCTTTAAGAAACATTATGTATTTACCTGCATTAAATCCTTGATCATAACAAGCCTTTATTTGATTCAGAAAAAACTGGGCCAACACGAAGCATTTATTTACAAGCCAATTTATGTATTTTACTTTATTTGATTTGTCAAACATTTACAATATAATAGAAATAAGAATAAACATAAGTATAAATACATGAAATAGGTACAAATAATTGGGGACAATAGGACAGGGACGGTAGGCACGATTGTGTGCTTTTGCGTGCCCCTTTACAGACTTCTTAGGAATGGGGTGAGGTCAATAGAGGTTAGTTTGAGGGTAAAGGAGTGGGGGTTTGAACATATGAGAACAGAATCAGGTAGTGAGTTCCAGACATTGATCACTTTGTTGCTGAAATCGTATTTCCTGCAATCAAGTTTGGAGTGATTTACATTAAGTTTATATCTGTTGTGTGCTCTTGTTTTTGGATAAACCTGGCTTGACTAAACCACACTGAGTCTCTGATTATCCACTTTCTTCTTCTAGGTACACAAAGCTGGGTTACGCTGGAAATACCGAACCACAATTTATTATCCCATCATGTAAGTAGAGGGTGTTTTCAGAATATGTGCTCATCAGTGGAGAGAGACAAGCATTTGGCTTCTCTACTGTCTAGGGAGTTTTCTTTGGGGGTTTAGGGTGGCATGTGTGGGCCCCTTTTTCTGTGAAGTAGTATTTACTACATCAGTGTCCTAGGCTAGTATGGAGCTGGAGAGACAAAGATCTCCTTGCCAAGACTGGCCCTCATTAAACCACTTTCCGGTTGCTATGGCAAATCCTCTTTCCTTCCTATCTCTATTATGTGCGCTGCCACAGATCTGCCTTGATGAACAAGTGACTTCCTTCTTTACCTGACGCCATGAATACAGCTTGAAAGACTTTTCACTTGGGGTACCCTTTGGGCAGCTGGTATTCTGAATTGAAGATGCCATCTGGCTGTGGGACTGAGCACCTCTCTAACGGCAAATATTTAACCGCTCCCAAAGCGAGCGTACCAACGGTTTGTTTGTTTTGCAACTCTTTCATTTAGGCATTGCAATAAGAGAATCGGCCAAAGTGGGTGACCAGGCACAGAGAAGACTGGCCCAAGGCGTGGATGACCTAGATTTTTTCATTGGAGATGAAGCTCTTGTTAAACCCACCTATGCTACAAAGGTAAAGTTGGAGCGAAGAATGGGAGTGTCGGGCACAGAGAATCGGGACCATGCACTAAGTTTCACTTCAGAAGATTTATTGCTCAAAACTATACACAATAATCTCGTCAGTTTAGTACTAAATTGGCACCAGTTAAGAGTCAACAGAATTCAAGAGGGGTTGAACTTAGTTTGTAGAAACGTAATGACTCTAAGCTAATGACGTGCTTAACTCCACCCACCCACCCAGCTCTGCCTGCTCTTCTTGTATATTGAGCTTTCAAACTTAGACTGTGGAAGCGTAATGACTCTAAGCTAATGATGTGCTTAGCTCCACACATACCCTCCCCTCCCCCCAGCTCTGCCTGCTCTTCTCATATATTGAGCTTTCAAAGGATTGGACCTGCAGGGAGTTTTTTGCATTTCAGACATCCGCAGAAAGGATTCAAATAAATAAAGATGGCGGATGTGCCCATGTGATATGAAGCCCTGCTCCTTTTTGCAGGAAGGCCTCGACTTATGTCCAGTCACTTAGTGACCATTTGACAGGCCTGAAAAAGGCTATTTACAACCTGGATTTTGAAGTGCCAATGTATTCCGCTTCCCAGGATCATGTAATTGTATTTTCGGCTGCTCAGTTGCCTGCCTGCACTTATGGCTGTTTGCAGAATTACATGGTCACATGACTGTAATTTATGATAGTTTTGCTGGAAACTGGTATTTATTTCTGGTTTCCAGTAAAAAACAATCAGCAAACAATGGGTAAAAAACAATCAGCAAACAATGGGTTCACTTAATGACTGTGGTATTTACTTTACAACTCTGTTGCTCTCTTAATGACCACTGTAAAAAGATTATAAAATAGGGTGTGGTTACATGATGACCTGCTTAACAACTATCAAACTTATGGCTGAAATCGTAGGCTTAATTACAGCTGTAAGGTAATTGTAAGAACTACCTGTACCTGCGTGCAAGAGCTCCAAATTATATTGAAGTCAGTGGTGGGATTCAAATTTTTTACTACTGGTTCTGAGAGTGTGGCTTAGTGGGTGTGGTGTGGCTTGGTGGGCGTGGCTTGGTGGGCGTGGCAAAGGAAGTATACTGTAAAATGCCCATTCCCTCCCCACCCCACTAACCTGCTTTCCAGCTCCGTTCTCCTATGCAGGGCAACAAAAGAAGATCCAGCCAATCAGCTGGGACTCAGGAGGCGGAGAATAGATGGGGCGGGGCCAAAATTTCCACTACCGATTCTCTAGAACTGGTCAGAACCTGCTGAATACCACCTCGGATTGAAGTGCCCGCTATCTTGATTATTTTGGCCCTCCTCTGCAGACATTCCTTTTACCCCTAAAGTCTTTGGCACATTCTGGGTCCTTAATCTTTCTGAGCCTTTGAGACTACTAAAAGCTACGTACTGCTTCCCAGAAAAGTATATTTCAAGGCTTGTCATAAATATATAGATGTAGATTACATTACAGAGGAAAGCATTGATGCTCAAATACAATTACCCAAATATTAAAGAATAATCCAGATAATTTTAGAGAGTGATATTGATGTTAACAAACCTTTCTGGAGTCCATAGGCTGTCAGTTGACTTTGTTATGTAGTTTCATTATTGGACAGAAAGTTAGAGGGTGGTGAAAAGAAAGTTATTTATTTTCCATTTGAATTCATGGACCGCTAAAATCTCAGGTGAAAACCCCTTGCTTTAAACCTAACTAAACAACTCCTAGAATTCCCACTCAGCCTAGTCATTAGGGAGTTGTAGTCCCAACCAATTTCAAAGGCTATTTGAAGCTCAGTTCAAATTAAAGATTACAAATTATTGCATCTATTTGATCCCAATTCCCTGAACCTTAGTTTTCCTTGATTGTCCTCTTCCAAAGGCTAATGTAGGCCCTTCTACTTTGCTACTGCATTTTTGTATCTATGCTGATTCTCAGTCATCCAGGTCATGATTGTCTCAAAGGTGCTTTGTTGCTTTTTCAAAAAGCAACTGGATTGTTTTTTTCCTTGAGGAAGCCATTTTGCTTCTCATCCAAGAAGCTTCTTCAGAACTGAACAAGCTTCTTGGGTGAGAAGGATACAAAATGAGTACATAAAATTATCTGCTATGATGTCCTATCTGTCAATGACAACTTCAGCTTCAACCACAACAATACACAAGTATACAATAGATACAAACTTAAGGTAAACCACTCCAAACTCAATTGTGGAAAATATGACTTCAGCAACAGAGTTGTCGATGCTTGGAATACTCTACTTGAGTATACTCTACTCTGTGGTCTCTTCCCCAAAACTTTAACCTTAGACTGTCTACTATTGACCTCACCCCATTCCTAAGAGGTTTGTAGGGGGTGTGCATAAAAGCACCAACATGCCTACCGCCCCTTTCCTAATGTCCCCTTTTATCTGTACCCATTTCATGTACTTATAATCATGTTCCTAATTATATCTGTTATCGAAAATATGCTTGACAAAATAAATAAGCAAAACGTTTTCCTCAAGGGAAAAAAAACAAATTCCAGTTGCCTTTTGAAAAAGCACCTTTGAGATTAGTGCATTTCCTACCTCTTGCTTTCTTTAAAGCTTACATTACATGTATTCAATAAAGATGCATTTATTGGAAGAAAGATCCAGTAGAAGTTATCTTTGAGGAAACCAAAGGCCATTTGTAAGAGTAAAAACAGATTTGACAGAGAGTTGAGTTAGAAATTTACAAATTTGTATACAAGACAACAGTGCTGAAAAAATTGACTAATGATATTTTTTTGATGCTTATGACCGTTGCAGGATCCTCATGGTCATGTGATCAAAATTCAAGCGCTTAGCAACTGGCATTTATTTATGATAGTTGCCCTGTTCCAGGGTCACATGACCACCATTTATAACCTTTCTCAGATGGCTTCTGATAAGCAAAGCCAATAGGGAAAACAGGAGTCTCTTAATGATCACATGATTCATTAACAACTGTGGTGATTCATTCAACTTTTACAGCGAAAAGGCTGTAAAATGAGACAGAAACTCATTTATCAACTGCCTTGCTTAATAATGGAATTTTTGGCCTCAATTGTGGTCATAAGTCGAGGACTAGCTATATTGTTTGTTACAAATTCATTGGAAGGAAGAAGCTGGTAAGATAAGGGAGTGATGCACAGAAACTGACCTTCGGTTCCTTGAGCTGTGCTATGGAAGAAATTCTTCCTAAGGTAGGGTCTAGATTAAAAGAGCAAAAAATATTACGCCTTGCTCCATCATGTTCTTTCCTCATTCAGTTCCAAGGCAGAGACTGGAAGAAAGATGATTTCCAAAGAACTAAGGAGAACACATGGACTTACTTCTGATAGTTCTTAATTGTTGCTTGCCTGTAAACAGAATCTTGCCAGACTAAAGCAATCATCTGCCATCACTATAAATATATTCTGGGAATTATCCACAGCCTGGAGTTCAGTTGTGATGGGGACTCAAGGTTGAATCAGCCTTCCATCCTTATGAGATTGGTAATTGTTGGGAGCAATATGCAAATAATGCTTCTACATTGTAGACCACTCAGAGAATGTTATAAAGTGCCATGGGGTGGTTATTGTTGTTAGTTGTGAAGTAGTGTCCGATCCATCGCGATCCCATGGACAATGTTCCTCCAGGCCTTCCTGTCCTCTACCATCCCCCGGAGTCCATTTAAGCTCACGCCTACTGCTTCAGTGACTCCATCCAGCCACCTCATTCTCTGCCGTCCCCTTCTTCTTCTTTTGCCCTCAATCGTTCCCAGCATTGGGCTCTTCTCCAGGGAGTCCTTCCTTCTCATTAGGTGGCCAACTTCAGGATCCGGCCTTCTAAAGAGCAGTCAGGGTTGATCTCCTCTAGGACTGACCGGTTTGATCGCCTTGCAGTCCAAGGGACTCGCAGGAGTCTTCTCCAGCACCATAATTGTATATAAAGTCTAAATGCTATGTTAGGTCTGACCATGTTCTCTTCCTGCCGACCAGATATTTCAAGCTGCCCTATCTCTTTGCTCTCTGGGAAAGACCCCCTTCCTCCTGAGACTCCAGATCACATTCCAGCATAGCTGGTCCTTCCTAATGGTCTAAAGGACTGGACCTGTCATCTTAAAGCCTACTCAGCTTTAATTGGAATGTTTATGTCCAAGTGAAGCTAGTATTATTTTTTTTAAAGCTCCATTGAGCTCCTGATGTGGGGTGAACCAGATGTTAAAGTTATAGCTAGTTTGCCAAACTGGTATTTCAACCGACCCCTGCCCCTCCCCTCCCAGGAGTCTCCACGCGGCCCATTTTCGATGGAGGGTCCGCACAGAGACTCTGGGAGGGGGACAACCGGGCCTTCTGGAAGTCCAGAAACGGGCCTGTTTCTGGATTCCGGTGGGCCTTCAGAAGCGGGGGAGGCCGTTTTCGCCCTCCCAGAGGCCCCCGGGGGAGGCCTCTGAACTCTCGGGAGGACGAAAACGGCCTCCCCTGGGTTCTGAAGGCCCACCAGAAGCCAGAAACAGGAAGTTCCATTAGGCCCTGCCCACCTAGCAACCGGGCAGCGAACCAAGTTGCTGGGATTTTTTTGAATCCCACCCCTGGAATGAACCTCTGGTTTTCAGGGCCATAGTATATCGTATATCTCTTGTATCGAAGTCAGAGACAGAAGTGTTACCAAATTACCAAGTTGTGCAAGGTGTTGATTGAATGGAGTGATAGAACAGACCTTTGTTTCTTCAAGGTAAAGATGACACTTTCATTCATGGAATGATGCTGTGGTTCCTTTCTCCTTCACTTCAGTGGCCTATCCGGCATGGCATGGTGGAAGATTGGGATCTGATGGAAAGGTTCATGGAACACATTATTTTTAAGTACCTTCGAGCTGAACCAGAAGATCACTATTTTTTAATGGTAAGACCAACAGGCAAATGGTACCATGTTTAAGTATTATTGGTATCACATTTTTAACATTAGTAATATAATATAAGTACACACAAAACACAAGCTTAAAAGAAAAAAAGTGACCTGGGAAAGTCCACATCACAAACGGCTGGAACTTGGAGCAGGATTTATTTGACAAATAGATGCAAAATTCTGATTTTATCCATGGGATGCACATACAGTGTCCCCTGTTAAAAACATAATCCTAAGGATCTCTATAAATAACATGTTTATTAGAGTCCTGAGAGCCAAAATGAGAGAAAAAAATAGGGCAGAGTATTATGTTAAGTCCTAAAGAAAACAAGGAGACAGTAAATATTCAACACCAGTTTAATTGTTACCAATATATTGAAAATAATTTAGCCATCAGTTCACTAGCCGTATTCTTGACTTGATAGCTGCTGTCAAAACTTTAGCTGTCAGTCGAGAGAATTTCAATAAACATAAAATGCTGTCTATCAACCTTGATAAAATGTGTGATTGGTATCCTTTTTATTTAACTCTGTCTTTTGAAAATAGACTGAACCACCACTGAACACACCTGAAAACCGAGAATATCTTGCAGAGATCATGTTTGAATCATTTAACATACCTGGACTTTATATTGCCGTGCAGGTAAAATCAAATCAGTACTTCCTGGAATGATGCTTTTGGCACTGGAAACAGAGGCTTCTCTAGGCATTTAGTTCTGTTTTTTTTTCCAGAGTATATTCTGGAAGAGAAGTTGATATGATTAAGTAGGATATCCAAAAGATGAAGGTGGCAGTTGCAACACCTGTTAATAAAGAACAGAATTTGGATCATGCAGCTGCCGTCCACATCTTGACTTTTTAAAAAACTCTCTCAGCAAATGCCTGTGTGATTGGTGTAGTGAAAGTGTTTTCATTTGGCTAATATAAAATGTTGAGCGTTGCTGCTAAAGATATGATTTTATGTAAATAGAAAGAGGAAGTGGTGTCATTCTTACAAAGTCCGAAGTTACAAACTTCTTTTAAAAAGGAAGGAAGGAAAGAGGGAGGGAAGGAAGGATGGAAGGAAGGAAGGCTTTTGCTGTGATCTCATCTCTAATTCATCTCTGTAATTAAGATTATTTTATTTAACTATTTTCCAATTTTTTCCATTTTGCATCATTTCATAATTTTAATTTTCCTTCCTTCCTTCCTTCCTTCCTTCCTTCCTTCCTTCCTTCCTTCTATAGCTCCACAAAAATTAGAAGAAACCTTTGTTTCCTTTTAACAGCACTAACATATTTGGGACCATTCCTTTGGAAAGGTATGGTTCTTCTTCTACCACAAACAGTGCCTTATTGGATCAAGACAGTTGCTTTCCTGTCCAGACACTGCTCCAGGAATCTAACATAATCTCATGATTATGTTGGTTTGTAGGCTAACTAGCATGGGGACCAGAGAGAACATCTGTACAAGTTGAAGGCATTATTCTAGGGCAGTGTTTCTCTACCTTAACAAGACCTGTGGATTTCAATTCCAAGTTCCCCGCCAGCATGCTAGTCTAGGAAATGTTAGTTGAGGACGACCATTCTGCCCTTTGGGTACAGAAGATGTAGAAAGTGCTTTTATTTTTATTAAAATGTATTTTAGGTTTTCTTTCCTTTGGTATTTTTTAAAAAGAGGGAACATGATATTTAGTCTTTTATTTTTTACTTTATATATAGAGTCTCACTTGGCCTGGAAATCTACCAACTATTTGGGAAATTGGTGAGAAATTTTAATTTACTATTTTATTTTTCAAATTAACTTTCACAGGCCGTGCTCGCCTTAGCTGCATCCTGGACTTCACGACAAGTTGGGAACCGTACCTTAACTGGCACAGTGGTTGACAGTGGTGATGGGGTGACTCATGTCATTCCAGTGGTAAGTACGATACACAGATAATCCTTGACTTATGATCATTCATGTAACAATGGCTCAAATAAAATGGCCTTGAAAAAATGATTGTACTGTACTCTCATTTATAACTGGGCACCACTTCAACAGGAACATGATTTCAGGGGTGGGATTCAAATTTTTAACAACTCGTTCTGTGGGTGTGGCTTAGGTGGTAGGTGTGGCTTGGTGGTCATGTGACTGGGTGGGCGTGGCTTGGTGGTCATGTTATTGGATGGGTGTGGCCAACTCAATATCACTCACATCGAGGCACACTTCTCCTTGCCTGGCCTCTCGTGACTGTGGGAATGCTGCAACAGTCGTAAGTGTGAAAAATGGTCATAAGTCACTTTTTTCAGTGCCATTGTAACTTTGAATGGTCACTCCACACAAGCAAAGTACCAGCAAAGGAGGAAAAAAAAACTACAGAGATGTTCCTGAGACAGGAAGTCTAGTCCTGCCAAGAATGTAATAAGGGTTAACGGAGAGGCAGTTTCTGTAAGCAACACCAGAATGTTTCCTTCCTGCCTTCCTTACAGGATTAGGCCAGTAATTTCTTCTAACAACTGGTTCTCCAAACTGTTTAGAATGTTAAAAACCGGTTCTAGCGAATAGGTGCGAACTGGTAGAATCCCACCCCTTCAGGATTGTTTATGGGAACTCAATTTGGGTACGTGGCAACCAGCTCTCATTTATGAATGATTACAGTGTCCTGTAGTCACACAATCACTTGTTGTAAGTGGAGGACTGTCCTGTCTGTTCTTCTGTTCAGTTTGCCCAGCCTGGAAGATTTTGCTTGTTCTTTAAAAACAGACAAAACTTTATTTTTCAACATCAGTCAGATATCCAAAACTGCTGCAAAAAAGGTTGTAAAATCGGGTTGGTCACACAACCAATCCGATTTACAATATCATAAGATATGACCTTAATAGGTAGGTTCCCATATGGTCATATATTGAGGACTAACTACCGTAGGATTTTTTTAGACCCAGTGTAGGTGGATTATGTCATACGTTCAATTATTGTGTTTCCACCGCTAGCTAATTTCGCAGGGGAGAGGGTACATTTTGAAAAGCTAAAATCTGAAACTCTTATTAAATAATACAGATAATCCTTGACATATAATTCATTTAGTGACCATTTGAAGCTACAAGAGTGCTGAAAAAGTGACTTATAACCAGTGCTCATACTTACAACTGGAGTAGCATCCCCATGGTCAACTGATCAAAATTTGGACACTTTGCAACAGGCCTGTATTTTCGATGGTTGCCGTGTCCTGAGATCACATGATCACCATTAGCAATCTTCCCAGCTACTTCCAGCAAGCAAAGTGAATGGGGTAAGCTAGATTCACTTAACAACTGCAGTGATTCACTTAACCATGGCAACAATGTCATAAAATGAGGTACAATTCACTTAACAACAAAGGATTAGGCCTGTGATGGCGAACCTATGGCAAGCGTGCCACAGGTGGCACGTAGAGCCATTTGTGTTGGCATGCGAGCTGCAAGCAAACTACCTCACTGCGCATGTGCGCGCCTCACAGCTGATTTTCGGCCAGTTTGAGTCCTTTTTTGGCCTCCCAAAGGCTTGAGGAAGGCTTCTGCAGGCTTCTTCAGGCTTTGTAGGCCGAAAACTAGCCCCGTTTCGATACTTCCTGATTTTCCAAAAATACCGGAAGTGATGAAACGGGGCTAATTTTCGCCCTGCAGAAGCCTGCACAAGCCTTCCTCAAGCCTCAAACCAGCCGAAAAACAACTGTGAGGTGCAGTGCAGGTAAGCGGGCAGCGGAGGTGGGGATTGCCTGCGCATGTGTAGGAGACGTGAGGGGGGCATGCATTGCCTTCTGGGTGCTGGCATGTGAGTGCGAGCGTGCAAGTGCATGCACAATTTTTGGCACAGGAGCCCAAAATGGTTAGCCACCACTGGATTAGGCAATGCTTGCTTAACAGTGGAAATTCTAGTCGCAATTGTGGTTGTAAGTCAAGGATTACCATAATTGCTTGAAAAGCAGAATGCACTTGCCCCAAATTCTGAACTGGTTACTGTTGGAAGTCTAAAGCTAAGTAACTTTTTCCCCACCTTTGGAAGGCAGAAGGTTACGTGATTGGTAGCTGCATCAAGCACATCCCCATTGCAGGAAGAGACATCACATATTTTATTCAACAACTCCTAAGGGAAAGGGAGATAGGAATTCCTCCGGAGCAATCCCTGGAAACAGCAAAAGCTATAAAGGTAAATACTTTTTATTTCACTAATTCTCTAGAAATAATGAACAGAGTTGGGGGAATCAGTGAAATGTGCTCCCCCCTGATTTCTGGATATCCCATTCATTTTAAGTTGATAGTAGAAGGGACGTGGTGGCTCAGTGGCTAAGACGTTGATCTTGTTGATCGAAAGGTCGGCAGTTCAGCAGTTCGAATCCCTAGTGCCATGTAGGGTGAGCTCCCCTTACTTGTCCCAGCTTCTACCAACCTAGCAGTTCAAAAGCATGTAAAAATGCAAGTAGAAAAATAGGGACCACTTTGGTGGGAAGGTAACAGCATTCCGTGCACCTTCGGCAGTTTAGTCATGCCGGCCTCATGACCACGGAGATGTCTTCTGACAGCACTGGCTCTTTGGCTTTGTAACAGAGATGAACACTGCCCCCTAGAGCCTGTGATGACCCAGGGCGTGGCACAAAGGCAACACAGTCAGATAAGGAATAAGAGTCCCTTTATTATCTCCAACTTTGTCCCCAATGTCCCGATTACCTTCTGACTGGAGAAAAACTCTCCCAGGAACAGCCTTTGACTGTAGAAAATTCAGTCCGAAACAGGGTAAACACAAACTGTAACTTAAAGTCCAAACAAGCCAAACTGGAGTAATTAATCTGGCAGGGCAGCAGCAAGAATTTCAGACTTGAAAGCACGGCAAAACTCACATGGTTGAGAAGACTCCAGGAACACAGATAAGCCACGATGATACAAGATAAAGTCACGTTTGCTCCCAACAGCCTGCTGCCCACAGCTTGCCTTTTTTATACACTGTGTTCCCAGCTGCAGCTAATGAAGGCAATCAGGGCCCTTTCCTCCCCTGTAAACCACTCTTCTCCATTCCTCCCTGCGTGTCCTAGGATGAAGAGGGGGTGGGCCTGGGTCTTCCTCTGAATTCCCTCTCCCTTGTTCTATCTCTCCCCTGCTCTGCCCAGCCGGACTTTGCCCTTCCCCAGTTTCCTCCACAGCCAACGGAGCCATACTCCTACTTCCTGTCAACTGTTCGGCTTCCTCTTCAGATTCAGACTCCGACAGGGGCATGACAGAGCCGGAAACTACTAGCACGTATGTGCGAGGGGAACCTTTACCTTTATCTTTAGAAGGGAGTTGTAAAATGTTCTGTCACAGAATACCTTAATCCCAGAATAGGTTGCTCCAGCCTCAGAACAGATTGTTTTTCACAGGAAGTACTGCAATAATTAGTTACAACACTTCCAAAATCCTTGGAGTAGCTTGTTTAGGAACTGGGATCTTTTGTGAAGATCACCTTTAGAGACAAGGAAGTGCTTAGTGCATGGGTGTCAAACTCGATCGCGTCACATGACGTATCGCGACGGTTTTTGCCTTTGCGGAGCCGGGGTGGGTGTGGCCTGCGTGTGATGCATCCGGCCGGCGGGCTGCTAGTTGACACCCCTGGCTTGGTGTTTCTAGTAGTTAAGGCTAGAAACCCGGAGACTCTGAGTCCTAGTGCCGACCTAGACATGAAAACTGGCTAGATGTCTTTGGGCCAATCACCAGAAGACTGTGAGATCTAGTCCCATCTTAGGCATGAAAGCTGGTTGGGTATCTTTGGGCCAATCACCATAAGACTTTCCTGCCATAGCCATGAAAAGCTGGCTGGGTAACTTTGGTCCAGCCAGTCTCACTCAGCCCAACCTGCTTCACAGGGTTGTTGTGGAGAATATAAGAAGAGGAGGGAGTATTAGGTATCTGTGGGGCCTTGAATTATTTATAAAAATATTAAAGTTGGGATATTATTATTATTAATAATAATAAATGGTTGGACTTCAACTCCCAGAACATTGGGGAATGAACATAACCGTCAGCCTCATTAGATGGACTTGACTGGGAAATCAGTTCCACAGGGAATAAAATTACTTTTGTTGAGATTGAATATAATAACAGAATCTTGCAAGTCTGATTAAAGTTGTAAGCTCTCCCTAAAATTCTGTGAGTGAGTGAGGAATTTGCCTGATCCGCTTCCGAATGTTATGTGGAAGTTCTGGACTTATTTTCTTCTTTTGCCTATTCAGCGGATCCTGCGTGACACAATAGCTGGGTGACTTTAAGAAAAGAAGAACAGCAATGAGAAGGGGTTTCCTTGAAATGCAAAATATTGCCCAACTCCATTAAGTCAACTTTACTCACCAGTTCTTTGATCAGTTTACTTTTTTGGTTTGTTTGTTTTTTTGCTCATGGCTTTCAGATTCTGATAATAAACATTTTTTTCCTCAGCAATTGTAAAATGCAGGATCTCCAAATGAGCCCCTGGAGCAGCTGTAATGTAGAATAACTTCTAAAGATGTTAACTTTTAATCTCAGCTTCTTTCACCCAATAAAACAAACATTTTCCTTCTTTTTTGTATTATTGACAGGAAAAGTACTGTTATATTTGTCCTGACATAGTAAAAGAATTTGCAAAGTATGATGTTGATCCCCACAAATGGATTAAGCAATACACAGGAATCAATACCATCAACAGAAACACATTTACGATAGATGTTGGTTATGAACGATTCCTTGGGCCAGAGGTCTTCTTTCATCCAGAGGTACGAGACAAGATTGCTGTAATAGAAGTCACCACCACCGCAGTACTGCTACTACTACTAGTAGTCGTAGTAGTCGTAGTAGTAATCATAGTAGTTGCAAGGATGGTAGTAAGAAAGCAGGAGGCAGGCAGGCAGGAAAGAGGGCAATGGTACTCATAAGGCACCATCTTGTGGCTAAATTATTTTATTTTTATTTCATTTATTTGATTTGTCAATTGCTTACAAGATAATAGGTATAAGTATAAACATGAGTAAGAATATAGGAAATAGGTACGTGTTAGTGTTTGGGGATTAACCCCTAGCAGAGTATTGCAGCAGTAGTCAAGCCAGGCAGCCAAACGAGAGTGGAAGGGCCCCAGAGTATACACACACTGAACACAAACACTGTTTGTAGTTTAAATAGTTTTTAATCCATTTAGAGTTTAAAGCATTGTCATTCAGTCCATTTGTCATTCACTATATTTCCATCCAGTAAGACTCACTATTACAGTCCAAGATAAGAGTCCTTACAATATCTTTATCAGCCGATAAAGATATCTTCTCCTCCTCCGGTGCCTCTCTCCAGAGAAACAAACGCTGGATATTCAGCAAGACGCTCAAACAGTAGAACAGTTGAATTCCGCAGTAAATCAGCAAACAGTAGCAGACAGGATCATCTCGGTCACAGGCACAGTACAAACAGTATTCACAGTTAATCACAGTAAGCTTTCCAGCTTCTAATGCTTCCTTATATTGTAACTTCTAACCGCACCCTTAATCGGCTAATTGCCTGCAACATTGTGCTTAAAGTGATAAGCACTTAAACCATGATATCTAAGTTTTATATATTTATTCACCCAAACCATATTTGGTATCAATGTTATACCTAACAGTACGAATAAATGGGGACAATTGGACAGGGACAGTAGGCACGATGGGGCATTATGCACGCCCCTTACAGACCTCTTAGGAGTGGGATGAGGTCAGTAGTGGTTAGTTTGAGGTTAAAGGAGTGGGGGCTAGAGGATGTAACAACAGAGTCAGGTAGTGCATTCCAGGCATTGACCATTCTGTTGCTGAAGTTGTACTTTCTGCAATCGAGTTTGAAGCGGTTTACATTGAGTTTGTATCTGTTGTGTGCTCTTGTATTGTTGCAGTTGAAGCTGAAGTAGTCATTGACTGGTAGGACATTGTAGCAGATAATTTTGTGTGCTACGCTTGTCTAACCATAGGCGGCGTAATTCAAGGTGGTCCAAGCCCAAAATCTCAAGCCTGGTGATATAGGGTATTCTGTTGCGAGCAGAGGAGTGTAGTATTCTTCTCGTGAAATACTTCTGGACTTGCTCGATTGTATTAATGTCTGATATGCATTGCGGATTCCAGACTGATGAGCTGTATTCGAGTATTGGTCTAGCAAAAGTTTTGTATGCTCTAGATAGCAATTTGATATTTCCAGAGGAGAAGCTTCGTAAGATTAGATTTACAACTCTTAATGCCTTTTTGGCAATGCTGTTACAGTGAGCTCTGGCGCTTAGGTCATTTGATATGAGAACTCCGAGGTCCTTGACAGAGTGAGGATCATCAACGAGGTCATATCCGCCTAGTTTGTATTTAATGTACTGATATTTTTTACCAATGTGTAGGACAGAGCATTTGTTGGTCAAGATTTGGAGTTGCCAGATGTTTGACCATTCAGACACATAATCAAGGTAGCTTTGAAGGATAGTAGCATTGTCAGTGGTGTTGAATAGTTTTACGTCATCCTCAAAGAGGACACAGTTGCTTATAAGGTGATCGCAAAGGTCATTTATATAGAGTATAAAGAGTATGGGTCCTAGAACGCTGCCTTGGGGAACACCGCTGTTAACTGGAGCAGGGTTTGATATAGCGCTCCCTATTTTTACTATTTGTTTTCCTGTTTGACAGGAATGCAGTAATCTACTTATAAAGGCATCCGGAAATGCCGTGTTAGTGTTAGTGTTAGTGTTAGAAAATGCACACCTTCCCTTTGATATAAGTCAGTCAATCTGTTTTCCCCATTGACATTGCTTGTCAGAGGATCCCTGCCAAGCCTCACAAATGCCAATCATATGACACCGGAATGCTGCAACTATTGTACATACCTGCCCATTGCCAAGAGGAAGAATTTTGAGTGCAAGGACCAATCACATGTCACTTTTTTCACCTGCGGCATAACTTCAAACAGTCATTAAACCAATGGCTGTAACTCGAAAATTATCTATACGCTTTTTACAGCTATTATAACTTCAGCTGTTATAAGTTTAAACCAATTGTCATAATTCCAAGACTTCCTATATCTGCATTAATTGATTATCTGCCTCTCCTATTTGTTTTTAGTTTGCCAATCCAGATTTTGTGGACTCTATTTCGAATGTTGTGGATGAAGTTATACAGAACTGTCCCATTGATGTTCGGCGTCCTTTGTATAAGGTACACAGAGAGACAGAATTATGAAACGACATTCAGGTGAAATTTGAAGTCTCACACCTTGTGTGTCTTCCTGCTGGTTTGATTAGTAGCTTGCAGGTAGAGGAATAAACAAATAGATTATGATCTTGAAAACATAATTTTGGTAAAACTGCTTTTATTTTCAGTATTAGTCCAACACTGAACATTTCTGAACATTATTAGGTGTCTAGCTATAGATTCAGCTTTTCTCATGCCTTTAAAGCTCATCCGTTTTTAGAGAAGTAGACAAAAATCACACATTTGCTTTTTAATTTGTTTATTATAGTTATTAAATTTGGAGCCTGCCCATCTCACTGACAGGGTAATTTTACCTTGATGGTTTCTGTTTTTTGCTCCAAGAGGCACTGATGACCCATAAAATACTGCAGGTGATCATTGATGTAGGCAAAAATGAAATGAAATACCATATTTAAGTGGCTCTAGTTGCTAGAGATTGCCTATCACCACAAACTAATGGCAGCCTCCTAATTCTGAGAATCTTATGAGATTTACTGATCTCATGAAATTTCAGCTATTAAAAACATTAACTTTTAATAATGAAATTCATGCATATGTTTGTAGAGGAATAGAATAGAATAGAAGTACTTTATTTGGTGTAGTGTGATTAGACACAAAAGCAATTTGTCTTACAATTTTTTTTTTAAAAAAACACCCTTTTTAAAATGGCAATGTAATTTGGCAGGAAAAGATTCATTTAAATGTTCTTGCCTGTTATTTCTATGCATTCTGTTTATTGTTTATTTATTAGCTATCCTTGTACCCTTCAGCTACTTGCTATGATTAAACATTAGTTGGCATTTTCATACAAGGATGGAGGTACATATTTAATTTTGGTTGTGCCTGGATGGATGCTGCCAATCAAAAACTATGACAGTCCTAGAATTACAAGGAAGTGCATTGAAGGCTTTCCTAATTTTTTTATATTATTAGGATAATTGGCTCCATTGTGGATCATTGTATATTTACTTATATTGAAATGTGTTTATTTTTTGCTGGCTCCTGTACATCCCAACAAGTTAACATTCTCTATTTTCATATCTGTCTCATATACTAGACATATACTAGCTTTATTTTTTTAGCTTTATTCATTTTTTCCTGAACAGTTAGGATTATTAGCTGGGAAGTTTTTAATTTGATGCATGATGTTAATTATCAATTCCATTTATGAAAAGATAGTAGTTCTTCTCTGTCCTCTCTGTATGTCTTCATTCTTTTCTTCTAATGGCTTCTATTGGCATCATCAGTGGGGTGTACAAAAGCTGTCCAGGACAAAGATAGTCTTGAAGAAGGCAGTCCTTAACTACTATGTAAATATCTACTTAGCCTAGGTAGACAGGGGAGGGTGAGGAAAACACTCAAGATTGCCCTGTCTTGATTCTCGTTAGTATGACGAGGAGAAAGCATCCTAGGCAGGCTTCAAGATTCTAGTATTATATCCTGTGTCAACAGAGTTCTAATACGTTTTTTTGTGATGTCTCTTTTCTGACCTGGGAAGAGAAAACCTTTTCTAATGGAATGCATAGATAATCTAGGGGGAAATGGAGGAAGAGATGATGATAATTTTCAAAGGCTTTTATGGCATGGGTTCAGAGTATCTAAGGAATTTACCTCAGGGTTAACCACTCCATTAATTCCAGCAGAAAGGGCCTATTTTGGATCCCGTTGATCACAGAATTTTGGCTGGCAAGAAGAGCCTTTTCTGTTTTGGCCCCCAGTTAAGTGTAACATAATAAGGTTTAAAAATGATATAGATCTAATATATAAATTCCAGATTTACAGATTAACAGAGTTGGAAGGGACCTTGTAGGTCATCTAGTCCAATCCCCCGCCCAAGCGGGAGACCCTACACCATTTCTGATAGATGGGAGCCCAATTTCTTCTTGAAAGTCTCAAGTGATGGTGCTCCCACAACTTCCAAGGGCAACTTCTGTTCCATTGGTTGATTGTTCTCACTGGCAGAAAGTTTTGCCTTATTTCCAGGTTAAATCTCTCCTTGATCAATTTCCATCCATTATTCCTTGTCTGGCCTACAGGTGCTTTGGAAAATAGCTTGACCCCTTCCTCCCTGTGGCAGCCCCTCAAATATTGGAAGACTGCTATCATGTCTCCGCTGGTCCTTCTCTTCACTAGACTAGCCAAGCCCAGTTCCTGTAACCATTCTTCATATGTTTTAGCCTCCAGATAATCGTGTAAGAAAAAAAGATAATGAAAGCCATTAAAAGAATGCTGCAGCCTAATTCTAAGCATTCAGTTCTTAAAAGTTTTTCAAAATACTGTTTTTTATACTAAAACCCTGTCTGCCTATCTTAATTTAAATTTAATTTCATAATGGAAAACCATCATGTAGTTATTCCTTATCTTGGAGCCCCCTCTTGTGGCTATAAAAAAATCCTCATAAAGTTCGTAAAAAGAAGAAAGTTTAAAAGTTTGACCAGATAATTGCAGATGAAACAAAGCTGTTTGTATTAGGAATATAACCTTGTTGCAGGAAAATAAATAAAAATTAGATAAATAAAATCACAAAAAAAATAAATTGTTCCCAGGTTAGTAAAATCATTATTTGTAAAATTGTAAAATTTCATTAGGTAGCTAATGAAAAAACCCCAAAGTTGTAGATTATTGAGTGAAGTAATTAACTAAAGAGAGATCAGCTCTGCTATCATCACTATCTGTTGAAAATCCATAGGCGACATTTGTAACAGGCTATAAATCACTCTGAAGACTTTATAGCGTTACCAATAGAAGATAATATTTATAGTTCACTTTGGCTCCTTGGTGCTCTCTGAATTTGGTTGTTTTCTTGCAGACGTTTCATTATAAGTCTATTGTTATTACTCAATTTACTAACCTCATCGGTGTTAGTGAGCGTGGGATCTGCTGCATTGATTAGGTTACCTACTTGGGTAATGAAACATCTTCCAGAAAACAATCAAGCTCAGAGAGCACCAAGGACCTTGGTTATAGTGATCTGGGGCCATCCTCTTTGAAATAGTCCCCAGTTCTTCTGTTGGGTATCTTGACATTTAATCATCATTAAGAATGAAAAGGGGAAACAGGAAACAATTTGTCTACTAAAAAAGGCTCTTTCTTGATTTCATGAATGAAGCAATACCGTTTCACAGCAGAAGTTGTCTAAAATACCTTCATAAAAGGAATTCTAAACGAAAATCCTTTTTGTATATCTTAAATTGGTACTTATTACTGCTTTCTATTCATAGCAATAGTGTGGATTAATTAGTTCTGTTGTACCATACACAATATAAGCATTTCTAGTTAACATTTACACCTACTTTATTATCCTTTTGTTATTATTAACTGCTGAGCAAACTTTTCTCCATGAATAATGAACGGATGGATCATTCAAAAGTTTCACTTAGTCTTCTGTCCTTCAGTTTTATAGTACATTATTATTCAAATCATTTTTACCCTGGATGCTACGGTTCAATGTAGAAGTTATGGAGACCATCTTCTGCATCAAAATTCAACAGTCTCCTATAATCCATTGTCAACTGGATTCATATGTGCTCTTTTCTCCAGTGTTTAGGTGAAGGATCTTCAAACTTGGCAAGTTTAAGACTTGTGGACTTCAACTCCCAGAATTCCTGAGCTAACATGACTGGAGGAGGAATTCTGGGAGTTGGAGTCCACAAGTCTTAAAGCTGTCAAGTTTGAAGATTCCTGGTTTAGGTAGATCTTATTAACCATTCCAGATTTATTTGCTCTTAGATAGCAGACATTTTCTACATTCCTTGACTTATGAGTACAATTGGAACCAGAATATTTGCTATTAAGTGAGTCATCCCAATTTTGTGATCTTTTTGTCATGGTTGCTAAGTGAATCATCCTAAGGTTAAATGAATCACCCAGTTATTAAGAGACCATGGCTTTCCCCATTGGCTTTGCTTGTCAGAAGCCAGCTGGGAAAGTCACAAATGGTGATCACCCAACCCTGGGATGCTGCAACCTTCATACATACAGTACATGCCAGTTGACAAACATCTGAATGTAAGGTCTGGTTGTAAGTAATGTGTTTTCAGTCATGGTCTTAGATCAAGGGTCTTCAAACTTGACAGCTTTAAGACTTGTGGACTTCAACTCCCAGAATTCCTGTGCTAACATGACTGGATGAGGAATTCTGGGAGTTGAAGTCCACAAGTCTTAAAGCTGTCAAGTTTGAAGATCCCTGTTAGATTCATAAGGATTGCTGTGGCTGAGATGAAGGAATTAATAACGGCTAATTCTCATTAGCCTTTCTAGCCATTTGAAAGAAGTAAACCAACAATTTTCTCAAAAACCATATCAGTTTAATTAGCACTCATTATTGTAATGTGCCGTGTGAGGGAAAAGGTTTTGGCCTTAAGTCTATTAAATGTAATAAATAGAATATAACTGTGTACCCCCTATCGACTAAAGTCTATTAAACGTAATAAATAGAATAAACTGTGTACCCTCCTATAGACTAAAGTAAATTATCAGGTGAGGTAAGATGACTATGACCTTCTCAGTTATGGAAATTTGGAATTCTTTGTTCTGAAATATCTCATTAATTTTCATTTAAGATCTTATAGTGCAGGGGTCCCCAAAGTTGGTAACTTTAAGACTTGTGGACTTCAACTCCCAGAATTCTCCAGCCAACTATGCCGGCTGGAGAATTCTGGGAGTTGAAGTCCACAAGTCTTAAAGTTGCCAAGTTTGGAGACCTCTGTTAGTGTGTTGGTTTACACCATTGTTTCTTAACTTGACAAGTTTAAGGTGTGTGGGCTTCAACTCCCACAAGCTGGCTGGGGAATTCTGGGAATTGAAGTCCACCCACCTTAAAGTAGCCATGGTTGAGAAACACTGTTCCATGCATAAATTAATTCATTCCTTCTCCAACCTAGCTGCTGCTTTCTTTCAGTTTTGCTTCAATTCATTTTGTAATGGAGATGCTTATTCTAAAGCTAAATCTTGAATACTAAGAGAGTTCACTCAATGAGGCCCAGGCAAGCCAAAAGACTGGACACTCGGTGTGAAAATAGATGTATCCATGGGATATGTGTGTCAAAAAAAAATATGTCACCTTTGCAATAGAAGCTCATATTCAGTGCAAAGCTTGTAAAGATTTGATTGCACTTTGATTGTGTGGTGATGGCCATCAACTTGATTTATTTGATCTTCCTGCAGAATGACATCAGTGGATTTGTCATGTGATATAGAAAGTCTTTCACCTACTGCTGATCACTTAGTAGCTACCACAGACCCCCCCCAAGAGATACTTATGACTTGATTTTGAAATTACAATGACTGAATATACATCCCCCTCACATGGTCACGTGATCACATTTTGGAGGCTTGGAAACCAGCTCATTTTTACAACTGTTTGCTACGGTCTGTGGTCACACGACTGTGATTTTCAATGTTTTTTCCTGGTTTTCAGCAAAAACTGCCCTTGAGGAAAAATGGATTCACTTAAAGACCATGTCATTTGCTTAACAACCACGAAATCAAGGCTGATCATATGGTAACCCATTTAATGGCTGCAACTACTAGCGAACATAATTTCAGGCTCAATAATGGTCGTAAGTTGAAAACTCTCTGTATGGATGTACCTGACCGATCACATTTTTGTCCTGCTATTCCTCATCCTGGAGAAAAGATCCATAGATCTGTCTGTTTTATCAAAAGGTTTGACTGCATTGTCTAAAGCCCCAAAAATATTTCTTTGTCATGTAGAATGTGGTGCTTTCAGGAGGATCTACGATGTTCAGAGATTTTGGTCGTCGCTTACAGAGAGATTTGAAAAGAGAAGTAGATGCTCGACTAAAAATCAGCGAAGAACTCAGTGGGGGTCGATTAAAGGTAAATTTTGATTTTTCATTAAATGGCTGAACAAACAAGGGGGGGGGGGGGGCTGAACGGATTAGCAAGGCCTGTAAATCAGACGACACCTTTAAAAACATGTTAATTGCATTTATTCAGGCCAATATCCTGCTCTGAGATGATTTGCAAAGAACAACATTATATTATTTATATATGATGACAGTCAGTTGAAATCTCCAGGTTTAAAGAACTGCCCAACATCCAGAAAATGTTAGAACATTTTCAGCCCAGAGTTATACTCCTTTGTAACAAAACTCAGGTTTTTGGAAATCAGAGGTCTGATTGCAAAAGGTTTAGCTCAAAGGATTTCATTCTGGTTAATATGAGTGGAGTAGAGGATGAATGAGAGTTAGTTTGGTGTAGCAGTTAAGGCATCAGGCTAAAAACTGGGAGGCTGTGAATTCTAGTTCTGCCTTAGACACAAAGTCAGCTGGTCTCCTAGGGCCAGACACTCTTTCTCAGCCCTAGGAACAAGGCAATGGCAAATCACTTGTCAAGAATCCTGGAGGGACTTTATCCAGCTAATTGCCAGGAGTCAAGACAGACAGACGAAGGAAGGAAGGAAGGAAAGGAAAGGAAAGGAAAGGAAAGGAAAGGAAAGGAAAGAAAGAAAGAAAGAAAGAAAGAAAGAAAGAAAGAAAGAAAGAAAGAAAGAAAGAAAGAAAGAAAGAAAGAAAGAAAGATCAATATTTTCTTTTTTGCTGGACCATAGATGTCCAAGCTGTGATTCTAGCAACAGTTTGGAAAAAAAAATAGCGGAACTCACAATATTTTGGGCAGGTGCTTGAATCCGGCAAGTGTAATTACATTCCTTCTAGTAGAACGGTCTCTTGCATTAGGAATGGAGAGCTCAAATCTTGGGTAGTGAGCCATGGAGATTTCCAACCCGCATTTGCTGGAATCTGAGCCAGCTTCATTAATTCCACACAGATGGTTATTCAGAATTTCTTCTCCCATAATAATTCATTAAACACAGCGTGCCGTTCCAACTGGTAGGCCTGGTTAACTCAGCCTGTGTCGTGTTCTGATAATATTCTGCTTTTGTTTGTGTTTTGCAGCCCAAACCTGTGGAAGTTCAAGTCATCAGTCATCACATGCAGCGTTATGCCGTCTGGTTTGGCGGGTCTATGCTTGCGTCAACGGTATGTCTTTTATTAAATCAGCTGGTCCTAGAAAAGCTGCACATCATTTGTTCGATTCCAAGGCACAGAAACTTCTCTTTTATTGTTCCCACCAGCAAATGAACTCATTGTTTTTTCCATTGCTGGTCAGGCTTACGTCTTGCATTAATAAGATCAATGTGGAGAGAACAAATTTTGTTAGGCAAAATCCCCCCCCCACCAAATCCCACTTAACATTTCTCAGTTTAAAAAAAAAACAGTGTCTTCTAAGGATATCTGATTAAATTTGTTTAATCCAGAGAACCTACAGATAACCCTCAACTTACAAAGGGCTGCTTAATGACCGTTTGGTGGACCTCCCCAGACTCATTTTCAGAGTTACAATGATCAGATTATCAAATTTGGGGCACTTGGCAACCTGCTCACCTTTACAGCCTTTTGTAGTGTCTTATAGTCATATAACTCTGATTTGTGATTTCTTTTGGCCAGTTTCTAGGGTTTACTTTCAATTTTCAGCAAAAAAAAATGCCTGTTGGGGAAAAGAGATTTACTTAACGATCATTTACTTAATGACTGCAGCTTTAACTTAAAAGAAAGGTTCATGTGAACCTGGTCGTGTGATCTGGTCATGTGATGCCTTGACTTACTGTTCTGACCCAGGCTTCGTCAAATGTAATTAAACACAAACTTGTTTTAAAAGCAAAACCTATTTTAATGCAACGCTGGGAATTATTTCCAGTCACAGCCAAAACTAACTTAAACAGATAAGCACATGCCTGTCAGTGCTGTGGAATGCTGCCAAAAACAGAAGTATCCAAATTAATTGTAACAGTACTGGAAAAAAATCTACCAGAATATGCAGAGCTTCAAGAAGGACTCAGTATATACTGAACTGCTTTGCTTCCTGCAAAAGTTTCATCATTGAGGTCTGACTTTTATCCCTTATGGGAGGGGCAATCACCTCCCAGCCTTACTCCCAAGTCACCCCTTCTGCTTCAGCTGCTCTCGCCTTCTAGCAGCTCTGTGCACATGTGCACTGGGAACAGGCTCCCCTGGGTCCTCTACCTCACTGCTGCCAGACTCCGAAGGCTCCGAAGGCAGCACCCCACTGCCAGATGGTCCTGGTCCCATCCCTGCATCGGACGCAGGACCCTCGTCCAAGTCCTCTCCAGACTCCCTGACTGGTCCCCATTCTTCCCCACTGACCTATACCTCTGCTGTCTGCACCGGCTGCCAGCGAACCACAACACTTACAGCCGCAAGCTTCTAATCATAATTCCGTGCTCAGTTCTGGTCATACGTTGAGGGCTTTCTTCAGGATACAAACTGAGATGATCTACATTTAAGAAGTAGTTCGAAACACCTGAAGATTTTTGCACTTGGCAGCCCAGCACCACATAAATACGAAGCACAGAATAGCCCAAAGCCCACATTCTGGTAGAGAGAAATTCTCTGAGGATGGACTTCAGCACGAGTCTGAAAGCTTGGAAGAGTAAATCTCTGGTTCCACTGACCGGCCCAGACTGCATCCTGCAATGTTATCCTGGGACACATATATTCCCTTTCATTTGCCCAGCAACTCTGCTTCCTTCTTCAGCCTTGAGACTTGACTAGCCACCACTCAGTGTACTGACTTGCTCTCTTTGTACAATTCTGTGCTCAGTTCATGAAAATTCAAAAAAGGTGCTTTTTTAGTCTCTAATTTGGAACAGCCCCGAGCCAACTCTGAGCCTTCCGGGTTCAGAACCAGCTCTTTCTGGTGATAATGTAAGGAAGGAAAAATAGTCAATTGGATAGGATTTTTGACAAATATAATAGAATTCTTTATTGGCCCAGTATGATTGGGCATGCAAGGATAAGCTCTTCAGTGTACAATGTACATACAAGCAACCAGGGCTGGGCTGCTGGGGGTTTGCAGGGGTTCAAGAGAGCCCTGTGCATTTCGGGGAACCCCCAAATCCCACTCCTGGCTGGCCCCGGCCACCCCTCCCCACCCCTCCCAGGAGTCCCCACACGACCCATTTTGGATGCAGTTAAGTGCAGGGCATGCACGGAAGCTCGGGGAGGGCAAAAAATGGGCCCCCTGGAAGTTCAGGAAGGCTGGAAATGCCCCCGTTTCTGGCTTCTGGAGAGCCTTCGGAGCCCGGGGAGGCCGTTTTCACCCTCCCGGAGGCTCAAGGAAAGCCTCTGGAGCCCAGGGAGGGCAAAAATGCTCCTCTGCCATGGTGCAGGAGGCCGACTAGGCCACACTCACCATGGCCACCCACCCACCGGGCAGAGAACCCTTTGCTACAATTTTTGGAGCCCACCCCTGCAAGCAACATGTGATAAATCACGATCATAATCAAAATACAATCATCATAAATCATACATTACAACACTCAGTTATAGTCATAGGCTACTAAATAATCAACATAAATCATAACAGGATACTAGTAAAAGCAATCAACAATAAGATACAAAACAAAAAAGTTATAGTCATAAAATGCTGAAGAAATAGGTAATAGGAAAGATGAGAAGGATAATAGGAATCGAGCTCTGCTAGGTGGTTTGATAATCCAGGGCATAAGATGGTGTTGTGGGAATTAGTTGTTCAGCAGAGTGATAGCATGGGGGGAGGGGGAAAACTATTCTATTTTATTCTGTTTTGACAAATGGTGTAAGAGCAGACTTCAGCAAGTTTTCATCTATGCAATCACTTTGCATAGTAGCATAACGTGAGTGAGAAATGGAACAAATTCTTTCTGTATTGCTTTCTTAAAATTTCTGTTCCTTGTGGCAAAAAATATCTTGAGGATATGTGTCTCTTTCTTTCAAAATAAACTGCCAATCTATCTTTGCCCCGTGTAGTGAATTCCTGCTATTTCAAGGGAGAGAAATGCGCTGGGAAGGTGATCCTGTACCACCAATTTTTCTTCTGGACTGGCTCATTTTCTTGATCGCATTTTTTTTGCACGCAAAAGCTTCTGATTTATCCTTAATATGTTTTTTTCCCCCCCCTCAGCCAGAGTTCTTTGAAGTGTGTCACACCAAGAAAGCCTACGAGGAATACGGTCCTGGCATTTGCCGTCACAATCCTGTTTTTGGAATTATGTCATAAGGTTCATGGTGCAGCATCATCTGCCGTGGGGTCTGATGGTGAACCTTCTGCTGACGAGGAGGAGAGAGACTTGGTGCAAAATGCAAAACTCAGTGTGGTATGGATGCTCGCTTGCCTAGAGTGTGCATTAGAATCAGGGAGTTCAAAGCAATTGGACCGGCTATAACTCAGTGGTGAGAAATGACTTGACTGTTAAATTAACTCTTTTCTGCAAGTTAGCTTCTAGTACACAACATTCGCTTTGCTAAAAAGAGTGAAAAGCATGAACTGTTCAGATCACTTTTTCTCAACCTTAGTAATTTTAAGATGCGTGGACTACAACTTCCCATGCTGGCTGGAGAGTTCTGGGAGTTGTAGTCCAGGCTTCTTAAAAGTTGCCAAGGTTGAGAAACACTAGCCTAGATCAGGTGTGTCAAACTGGCAGCTTGCGGGCCTGATGCGTCATGCACAAGTCACACCTGTTCCAGCTCCACAAATAGGGAAAAACATGGCGAAATGTCACCTGATGGCAACGTGATGCCACGAGTTTGACCCCCATGGCCTAGATGAACAGAGGTCCAGATAAGAAGCCAAAATGTGATATTGTTCCTTCGAAATCCAACATTGGTTCTAACCTTACAGTGCAGTGTTTCTAAACTTTGGCAACCTTAAGCTAGGTGGACTTCAACTCCCAGAATTCTGTTGAAATCCACCCAGCTTAAAATTGCCACGGTCCAGAAACACTTATAGTGAATTTGGCCATGAGAAAACTCAGCCATTGTAAAATTGGGGTCTTGTTTCATTTAAAAAAATACCCTACATTTGCCATATATGAAGGTTTTGAAAGTTTTACTCTCACGATTATGTGGTTTGTGGTTGTGGTTGGTTTTTCTGCATAAAAGTACAGGTATCATACGCACATAATTTGTGGAAGTGATCTGAGTGTCCAGGTAAGGCCCTTAATACCATGTTTCAAGCCACCCAGTGTTATTTGAGATCGAGATGAGCAGCATATAAATATAATAAACAATGAAATAAGTCTTCCTTGCCACTAGTACACAACCTAAGGACATTCTTTGAGGATGTCATATATGTTTTTAAAATGGCAATGTTTATATTGGGCTGAACATGTTCTGCTTCTGGAATTAATTTGTAAGATTTATTATTGCTATTTATTTGATTATGGGGGGGTTATTGTTTTAAAAATGAGAATTGATTCCTCTTGGTGCAATAAAACTATTAATGTGTTCACAAAGAGCTACACTTGTTATATTCTGTCTTGTTGAGGCCCTTTTCTCTGTTTAAAATAGTCCCCATTTTGCTATGGAATGGGGCTAATTTCTCAGAATATTCCTGAAGAAGATACAGTGGATTTAATGCCAGTCATAACCAGTGGTGGGATTCACCTGTTTTTTTACTACAGGTTATGTGGGCGTGGCTTGGTGGGCGTGGCAGGGGAAGAATACTGTAAAATCCCTATTCCCTCCCCACTCCTGGGGGAAGATTATTGCAAAATCCCAATTCCCTTCCTACCCCACTAACTTGTTTTCCAGCTCCATTCTTCTGTGCAGGGCAACAAAAGAAGACCCAGCCGATCAACTGGGACTCAATGGGAGGCAGAGAATAGATGGGGGCGGGGCCAGTCAGAGGCGGTATTTGCCGGTTCTCTGAATTTTTTATTTATGTCAGGAAGGACCTAATGCAGTTAAGAGTCAACCCGGTGTTGACTTTTTTTTTTTTAAAAAAATTAGCAACTAAATTTTTGCTGGAAAGCAGTCATTTTGCCAATGAATTTTGACAGTATATTACAGAGATAGTCTGGGTTTTGCAAAAGGAGATTGTGCGTTGCCTGCCCACACGTGCTGTGAGTGAACATTTGCTAGCATTCGTTCACTACATTTGTACAAACAACAGGTTCAGTGACCCAGTTCTTTCAAATTCATCTTAGCAAATTCTGCTTAAAGATTATGCCAATTTCTGGTCTTGGGTAGTTCAAAGCAGACAGAATCTTTTGTTCCTGGATTCTGCAGTGGAATCCATTTTTTAAGAAAATCTGGCTGTAAGAGGACAATCATAACATATATTTGCAATTTCTTGCCATCAGGCTATTTTGACATATACATGCTTTCATTGAATCTGGGTGGACAAAATAACTGGATGCTGAGCAAACAAAATGTTGGATTATACTAAAATCCACTGACTATTTGGCTCGTTGCCTGTAGTAATTTCCCAACCCTTTAATCAATTACGGGACTTTCCCCCTGTCCCCATAATTATTTCATTATAAAATACAGACATGAACTGGATATAGTGATATTTATCTAAACCTCATTGGATCATGGTTTCAGAGATGTTTCCTGACATAACACTTGGCCAACCCCACACTCCTCTACCCTAGCGATGCCTCTCTTGCAGACTTGGGCACCCTGTTCACCTTTCCCAACCTGTGCTGTGCTCATGCAACCTTGCTAAACTGTGCAACTCTTCTTGTGCATCACCCCTGACCCATGATGTGTCTCTTATCCACCTTTGGCAATGGTGGGATTCAATATTTTTTTTTTACTACCGGTTCTGTGGGCGTGGTTTGGTGGGCGTGGCAGGGGGAGGTTACTGCAAAATCCCCATTCCCTCTCCACTTCAGGGGAAGGATGCTGTAAAATCCCCATTCCCTCCCCACCCCAGTAACCTGCTTTGCAGCTCCGTTCTCCTGTGCAGGGCAACCAAAGAAGACCCAGCCAATCAGCTGGGACTCAATGGGAGGCAGGGAATAGATGGGGGAGGGGCCAGTCAGAGGTGGGATTTGCCAGTTCTCCTAACTGCTCAAGATTTGCGCTACCGGTTCTCCAGAACTGGTCAGAACCCGCTGAATACCACCTGTGACCTTTGGGCACCTTTCCTGAGCCACATAGCACCTCTCATGCACTCCCACGCATCCCACTTGACCTGTGCAGTGCCTGTCATGTACATACAGGTAGTCCTCAACTTATAACTACAATCGAGCCCGAAATTTGTGTTGCTAATTTGTTTGGAAATTTGTTAAGTGAGTTTTGCCCCATTTTACAACTCTTCTCGCCACATTGAAGTGAATCATGGCAGTTTTTAAATTAACAACTGTGTCAGAAGGTCACCAAAGAGATTCACATGACTCTGGGACACTGAAACAATCATAAGTGTGAGTTAATTGCCAAGCATCCAAATGTAAATCACATGAACGTGGTTGTAAGTGTGAAAAGTGGTCATAAGTCACTTTTTTCAATGCTGTTAGGAATAACATAGGTTACCTAACGTAGTTTGGGTAAAATAATGTATATAGACTATGATAGTGAATATAAGTGTGTGTCACTTTAACTGCAAAGCATGTAATTTTGGGTGCGCCTGTAAATTGCCATAAGAGGGAGCAAGAGAACTTGATTGATTGCTGGCTTACTGGATTGCTTGCTGACGATGATGGATTGTTAACTGCGTGTTCTTTGCTGTTGCTGAAAGAAAGAAAGGAGGTTTTACTTCTTCATATCTCTACTGCGAAGAGAGATCAGGCATGATATTCTTCCAATTAAAATCGGAATTCTGATTTTTTTGGGAATCCCCCCCCTTTCCCCCCACCCCTTCTTCTCCTCTTTCCCCTCCCCTCGGAGGCCCTGAGTCAGGAGTTGCTGGCGCGGCTCCGTGCGGCTCCAGTCCCGCGTTGCCTCAGGAAGGGAAAGGCAAAAAGGAAGAGCCGCGGCGGCGCTTTGCAATGGCAGCAGCGGCTCCTGGTTTTGCCTTTCCCTTCCCGAGGCAACGCGGGACTGGAGCCGCGTGGAGCTGCGCCGGCGGTAGCAACTCCTGACAGCCCCAGCCGGATACCTGAGCGGAGCCCGGGCGGTGCGAGCGGAGGCCGCTGAGCGGCAGGAAAAGGGAGCTGGGCCAGCCACAGACCAGCCTCCATGCAACACGCCACTGCCCGGCCCTGGTGAGGGAAAGCAGCGGGCGCTCCCCGGGCGCGCGGCGGGGGGTCTCTTTTGGCCGGCCCCGATTTTTTTTCCAGAGCAGAATATCATGCCTGGAGATATAACTGGACTGATATTTGTAAGTTTACTGACCTCTTTTTCGACACTGGACTTTGCAACTGATTAATCCCCGGACGGACTGAACTAGTGTATGATATATGGACTGTTTGACTATGCTATAAATCTTACTGGAATAAACTATTTAACTAGCACTGTGTATCTGTTTTATTGAGTGTAAACTACAACAACGTTTATCTCACATATTTGCCTGCCTGCCTGACTGCCGTGCAGGTTCTGCTAGGGTGTATATCCCTAACACTGGTTATGGGCCCAGCTGCACAGTCAGACTAACCAGGATATAACAGGCTTATATAAAGTGAGAGTTTGTGTAGTTACACAATACTGTAAACAGACAGCTGTGTTTTATTAATTATAGTTTAATATCCAGAAAAAGATGGCACAAGTCAATTTACAAAGTTTGTCTCTAATATCCAAACTGGATGGAACAAACTATGTTTCATGGTCCATGAAATGCAGCCTACTTCTACGCAGAGAAGGTTTGTGGAGTATAATTCAAAACCCACCAGAGGTAGATGCATGGGATCCGGAAGATGAGAATGATGCCCAGAAAATACAAGAATATAAACTGAAGAATGAGCAAGCTCTCTGTATAATAGGACTGACTCTATGTGACCAGCAGCTTGTCCATATTCGTGGAGAAGAAACAGCTGCGAAATGTTGGGAGAATTTAAAGAAGATTTATGTTCGAGACAGTGTAGGAGCACATATAAATCTTACACGGAAACTGTTCAGAACACATCTTCAAAAGAATGGAGACATGTTGACTCATTTAAACACTATGAAGATAATTTTTCAGGAACTGCATGAAAAAGAACTTATCTTCACAGAACTACATCAGGTTTATATAATTTTGTCTTCGTTAGATAAGAGCTATGATGACTATGTAACTTCACTGGAAGTACTGCCAAAAGATAACCTCACATTAACTGACATTACTGGCAGATTAATTGAAGAAGCCAGGAGAAGGCTTGAAAGGGATCAACTCAGAAGGGAACCACAAGAAGATAAAGAATCTACGACAGCCTATACAATTAGAAAATGTTTTAATTGTGGAGGAAAAGGACATTTGGCTAGATTCTACAAGAAAGGAAAACGCCACAATGCCAGCCAGAATGCTAAAAGGCATCAAAAGGATGAAAAATGCTTAGAGTTAGCCATGTATAGCAACGAAACTGTGAATAGTAATTTATGGGTTGTAGATAGTGGAGCATCGCACTGCATAACGAAAGATAAGAAAAGATTTGTTAAGATGTCCATGAGTTCACAGCAGATATCGTTAGCTAATGGCTGGAAAATGAAAGCAAAAGGTGAAGGTATTGCACATTGTTCTTGCATAAAAGAAAATGTAAGAATGTTATATGTACCACAACTTAAGTTTAATTTGCTTTTGGTTAGAGTTTTGGTTAAACTAGGTTATGTAGTTACCTTTAGGGGAGAAAACTGCATAATAGAAAAAGAAGGTAAAAAAGTGACTGCAACTTTAAAAGGTGAATTGTATGTGTTAAATGATAATTCATTAGAGGTAACTAACACAGTTTATAATAATGTTAAACCTCATGATGAATGCATACATTTGTTACACAGACGTTTAGGGCATATAAATTTTAAAATGCTCAAGCAAACGGTTGAACTGTCTGAAGGTATAAAACTAAAGCCTTGCAGTAAGTATTTGCACTGCAATGCGTGCAGTCAAGAAAAAAGCAAGGTAATACCAGCAAATAGAATTAATGGATTTAAAACTAAGGAACCTCTAGAGGTCGTATTTGCTGATATTATAGGTCCTAAAAAACCAAGTGTGGGAGGTGCTCGTTACATACTAAGTATAATGGATCATTATTCTAGATATGGTTTCTGTTATTTAATGAAAAGTAAAACGGAAACATACCAGAATTTCTTTAATTGGTTGAAGTTTGCAGAAAGAAAAACTAAAAGGAAACTAGTAACTCTTGTAACTGATAATGGTACGGAATTTATAAATAATAAATTCCAAAATAGACTGAAGATGGCAGGTGTTGAACATAAAAAGTCTGCACCATATAGGCCACAACATAATTCCTTTATAGAAAGACGAGGCCAAACAATACAGGCAATGGCTCGTACTATGTTGTCGGATTCAGGATTACCTGAAACTTTGTGGGGAGAAGCAATAATGTGTGGTAATCATATATTGAATAATGTTGTTAACTCA